TCTCTCTCTCTCTCTCTCTCTCTCTCTCTCATTTCCAGCGTGCAATAATCAGATTCACATGAAACATCCACTGCTAGCCAAGCTTGGCACAGCCTGAATAGCGCACTGAGTGCATCAGCGACGTGACGAATCACAGACGTGGGCCAGTGACGACGAGCTCGCGACCTGCGCCACATTTGTATTCGAACGGACCACCATGGTCAGCAAGGGAGGGTTACTTGCGCCTGCTGCTTCGGCCACTTGTCACTCACCAGATTGAAGTACATCCACAGCCTCATTTACCATCTCTTGGATAATTTGCGCAGCGGGCTTGATGTCCTCTACAGATGAAAAGACGGCCAAAGTCTGAGCTACCGACTTGAGGTCACGTTGCCCACGAGGAGACTCGAAACGACTCACCAATCACGCTTGCGCATTTGCCGAGCAGGTAGCGCTCACGAGCGCCTTCCTCCGCTGTGCCCTTCTCGTCATCGTTCTCCAAATCGTGGTAGACGGGAATCACTCCTTGGGAAGTGAGCTTCTTGATCTCGTCTGGACGATCCTCCCACTTCTGGATGTAGGGTGTGTTCTTCAATCTCAAGGGTCGACCAGTGAAGATGATGGTGCCTGTTGGGCACGAAATCCGTGCGAACGCAGCGCGTCGTTAGTCAACACACAGCATCGTGTCGTAGACGAGCATCGTACTCACGGACGTCGGTCTCGTGGGTGCTGGTCAATACGGCTTCCTTGTGCTTGCGAGGAGCGCCGGACTCCTGCGAAGCGACAAATCTCGTGCCGACCCAGACACCATCAGCACCGAAGCAGAGAGCAGCGGCGAGACTTTTGCCTCTGAAAATGCCACCAGCGGCGACAGTGAGGATCTGCTTGCCCGTCAAGGGGCTCTTGTGTCCTCGCGTAATGTCGACCACTCTAGGCGCGAGCACAGAGAAGGGAATGTCACCAGTGTGGCCTCCACCCTCCCCGCCTTGAAAGATGATCATATCTACACCACTGGCAATACTGCCCTTGACGTGCTTGGGGTGGCCAATGATACCTGCACACACGATTCCAGCCTTGTGCAGCTTCTCGATGATTTCTTTGGGCGCAACTCCTACGGCCGAGCTACACGAGCGTCGCGAGAAAACTTCATTGTCAGTTTCGTGCAGCAACCGTGTGGCGGCCTCAAGAGGAAGAGCACCGGCTCACACAAAGAGTTTGGCTTTCGCTTCGATGATGATGTCGATGAGCTCTCCAAGCTTGCCTCCAGTGTAGTCGTAGTCTGCAGCGCAAGGTGCATACAGCCCGCTCAGATCAGGACAGGCTACAGGTCACCTTTGTCAGACGGCACGCTATGCTCACTCGTCTTTCTGGCACCTTCTCCAACCTTTGGCAGCAAAAGGTCGACACCAAAGGGAGCGTTCGTGTCGTTCAAATTATCCTTGAGCTCCTTGATCTGCTCTCGCAAGAAATCTGGAGTGTAGCCGACACCTCCGATGACTCCGATGCCGCCTGCATTTGTCACTGCTGCTGCGAGCTCAGGACCAGCTGCGACGTTCATGCCAGCGAGCTGACGACAGGCGGTTGAAGGAGAGCAGTGAAAAGCTTGATGAGTGTGCCGCACTTCATCAAGATCTTGGCACCTGTGGCCGAATGACTCACCATGATTGGATGCTGAAGGGCGAGAAGTAGGTGATGGGATGTGTTAGCTTCGCACATCGTGACCGACGGGGCAGACCAGCCAGCTGCTCACCTTGATGCCGAATAGCTCGGTGAGTGGCGTGCGGAGCGACATGTTGGCCTGGTTGTTGAGGCGAGCCTAGTAAGAGATGGGGAATGGCGATGAGATGGGCTAGCAAGCTGGAGAGGGGGTGAGGGATGGGAGAGACGATCGAGTGCTGCTGCAGTTTTGGATCAGTGTCCGACTTGTCCTCGCGCTATCCCGACTCGAGGCACACAATCTCAAACACCATCACAGACTTGCGAAGCGCAAAAGTGGGGCCAAAAGCCAGGCTTGGCTCGGCGGTACCAGCAACCGATCGCGCGAGCCGAACAACGTATAGCGGTGGGTGGCATTCCCCGCGCAAGCTATAGCTGCGTGGCGTGGGGCAAGGGTGCACGCGATGTATACGAACTGTGACTGTCACCCTCGACTTCCGGCAACTGAAATCGCGAATGAGCCGGTGAATTGAGCGCGCGGATTTTTGCTGTGGGGAGGTACCGCAGGCACCAGGCCTCAGACGCGCCTTTGCGTAGGTTGAAGGTGGCTGGCTGATGTACTGCATGCAGCTTAATTCTCCTTTGCGCTTACGCAGCAGCGCATTGCATGTATTCACGATTACAGCTGGGGTCTGCATGGCATCTACTGGTACTACTCGTGACTGTAATCAAGGAATGCCACAGCAGGCCTAGCAGGTAGGCAGGTCACTGATCATCTAATCGGCTCCCCGCCGGATGGCCGCGAGATTTCCAAGGTGCTGCCCGCCCGTCTGCTGGACCAGGTACCGCTAGATCCCCCCACAGTCTTGAGTCGCCGCGAGCTTGGTATGCACGCCAACAGACAAGCTCGACCACGTGATCACAGCGACGAATCACCGATGCTCACAAACCTTTCAAGCTTTTTTCCTTGTCCTATCGTCTTCATTCGCCCCCTTCTGCTTCTCCTGCCTACTCCAAGGCGCCGCACTCTTGATGTCCATCTATAATAGGTGATACAAGAGCAATGCATAGCGCTTGCGTCACGATGGCACGTGCCACGTGACTCCAGCATCTTTCAATTCAAGATTCTGACTGATGGCGTCAGC